ACCGTTTCTTAGCAGTATGAACTTTCGGAATATAGTCTTTTTGAATAGCATGCGTTCAAAGAATACCTATCACATAAACCATGACGTCTTCCTCTCCCCCGCTGAGGATTGATAAGCCCTGGATGTCCTATGTTGCAGAATCCAGTCGCATTGGCAGGATCTCATATTATCATGGATGAGCAGGGGGATGGTCCCTAATGATATCAGATTGAGGCAGATAGAGTTCCCGATAGAGATTACACCCAAAACATTCTGGCCTTCATTTACTTCATTCATCTCCATAAAAGGAACGTTTTACTTAGCCCGACATAACTGTTTTGCCAAAATTGTTGTAAGGCATTTCACGGAATCCAAGGGCTGTTGTACCGCCCCCCACGCCATGTTGTTGGTAAGTATTAACTCAGAGGGGGTCCTCATGATATCAGATTCAGAGCAAGATGGCACGTCACAATTCCGCATCCACGATGTTTTATCCAGTTGAATCGTACATGTTAAACACATCAGCAGACGCACGCCTGTGATACAGTCGTCATGGAATGTTATCCGTAGAACTGGTGGCTGTGTGTGTGAGCTAATTAAGTCTTCCTCTCACTGAAACACATGGTGCACAGGAGTGTATTGTTGCATGCACTGATGTTAGCCGAATTCCTGTGAATGTCCGTAGCTGCATGTGTATCACATGTCCACTCCAACTACCCTCATTCTTTAGTGGATGCAGTTGCTATAGTGTGTTGTAATGTCACAGCTGTGCTAACAGCAACGGTGTCAAATCCCATGTGGTCATAGCCCAGCTGAATGTTGTGTGCCCAATTTTCCTGACTCATCTTCCCGCAGTCTATACTTAGAGATTATACATAATAAGGAAGTGTGCCACTCCTCATAGCTTGGCATACTTCGAGTCCATTGTTCTTTTACTCTAGTAGTCGTATCCCTTCCTAACGTCCCCAATCTTCGCATCGAAGGGGGGGGGGGGGAAAAAAGTGCCGCTCTTCCTCCTTCTTACTAACACCTTATTCTCTTAGATTTTTGAAGCGAAGCTGCTAAAATTGAAAATCAGGACTATCGTAACAGTGTTATATGACATGCTGCATGCTATCGTTGATTTGGCGGCGATGACTTCTGCACTGACCAACCACACGACTAGAGCTGACGTAGCCTTGAAGAATGCGGAATAGAAACCCGACGCTCCCCGCGGAGCGTGTCTTACTTCCTAGTACCGAATACGAAAACTACACAGACGCACCTGACCGCCTAAAAACGGGCACCTACGTTCAGTAAGATGGCCTGTACAACTCCATACCGGACTAGCCATCACGAGATATTTATAAAAGTACGACCAGTCTTCTACTCCATGGTCAATCAACTTTAAAAAGAAGAAAAAAAAACCAACCCCCCCCCCCCACCAGCGGATCAGGTTCGCCGATGCGTTGAACCAAATTACAGTACAGCTACGTCATATTACCACGCTCATCACATTGATGAACAATTGGCGACATAAAACGACAGCGCTTTTTTATAATACATACTTTCTGATTTTTTCTGCTAGTAGATAAGTTTACGTAAGTAAATTCCGACATACGTAGTGGCTAAACGGGCAGGCATGAAGGGCATCGGTTTCTGAAATTGCTTTTTATACAACAATTACTGGCCGAAGAGAATGATCCTGAGTTGCTGTTGGCTTCGCTGTGTAGATATAGTTCACTAGATGATAGGATGTATCATATAGTCCTTGGAACCGCGGTGCACGGTGAATCGGGTGCACAGGAGCCGATAGAGAAAAGCCACAGACACTCTGAACAGAGGTGTGACAGTAACTGCAGTCTGCCATTATGTGATTTGGCTTGCATGATCTTCTGCACTTCACACACACACCAAAATACAGTACTCCGTATATTCAGCCTCCTCAGACATGTGGATCAGGTCCCTAATCACGTGCAAGAAACAAATTGCAACTCAAAGCAGACTGAATATACTACTTTTTACTGCTAGTCGTCAGTTACGAAGTAGTCGTCATGTAGTGGTTGTTTGCGCAAATCGAAGATATCCCTGGTTGGCTGTTGGGTGGTAGTAATAGTTTCACTGTGGTACTTGTATCATAGTGCAAGGCATGTCTTGCTATAACTGCAGTCTCCCATTATGTAAAAACTAATGTCCTCCTGAGACCATTATTTAGATTCCTGCAGATTTGAGGATCATGAAAGCGATGACGGTGGTGGTGGTTGTTATGCTGGGGTGGGGTGCAGTGGCAAGCCAACAAGGGATATACATATCTATCACCCACCTGTTGGAGGTACGTATTTCTACCTGTATACATATGAGTTCCAGGTAGCTATTCTCCAGTCACAGGTATGATTTACAACTTAGGCTAAGGCCATTTTTGTGTGTGTAAATACCTCTTTCCTGTGGGTTGTTATCTACCAACACTGTATTAGTAATGTTGCAGCCAATTGCCTAAGAACTCCACACATTTGTACACAAAAACTCAGAGATGTCTATGTCAATTAAATTATAAGAGCTCAACAAACACAATGGAATATAAATTTTAAAGAACTCCACAAGTGGTGCATACATTTTGTACACAAACACAATGGAATATGAATTTTAAAGAACTCCACAAGTGGTGCGTACATTTTGTACACAAAACTCGGGATGTCTATTTGGATTTTAAGAACTCCACAAATAATGTGTACGTACATTTTTGTATGAGATGTCTTTGTGGAATATATGTAAGTTAAGAACTCGACAAGTCAATGTCGAAATGAGTTTTTTTAAAGAACTCCACAAGTGGTGAATACATTCTTGTACACAAAACTCGGGATGTCTATGTCAATAAAATTATTATTATTATGAAGAACTCCACTGGTGGTACGTATGTACACAAAACTCAAGATGTCTACGCATGTGAAATTTGAGTTTTTAAACCACTCTCTGCTCTTTGAGTGGCTTTAATCGTCTTGAAGTACATGCTGTGTTGGACCATGCTTTCGCAGAATAATACCAATGGATATCTGCCAATCGGCACAAGCACCATGACTTGAGAACGAGGACCTGAGAAGAATCCTGGTTGTTATGTTGTGAATGTGAGTGCAGCGTATGTCTAGCAATTAAAGGTTCGTTTTGCAGCCTTTGTATACGTATAACCTATGTTACACAGAACAAAGCAGAGTTGAGTGAACTTTCACAAGCAGTCATTGGCACTGAATCATGTGGGCACCTACATTTGCAGTGAGTGACACGCATATTAATTTGTGTGTATACAATGTACTTCTGTTTTCTTGTGCTAACTCTAAGAATGATTATAGTCGGGTGTCGTATTATTGCACTGGATCGTATACCTTAAAATACTGGCCCACATGGGAAGCTAGACTCAGAGAAACATTCTTGCACACACCCAAGATTATGTATGCACGTGTGTGTATACTTACGTATGTTTACACACAAAAATCTCGTGAATGTGTATGTGGAAAAAGCCACATTATACATTGACCTACATGTATGTAGTTCACAGCTATGACTTGAAACAAGATAATTTGCATGTATGAGTATGTTCTGTATGTACACATAGCCTTGTTCCAATCCCCTTAACACTGCAAATGTACGTGCACAAGATAATGAGGACAAGTCTCTATAGAGCAAGTGCTCTGGGTGTATAGTCTGCTATGGCTGCCATTCAAGTAATATATCCAGGGCTCCAGAGTGTCTATAGTCTGTGAGATAATCAACCATCTTCTAAGAACTTTGACATGAGGTGAGTGTCACAAATTGACAGGACCCAACTACATCATCTAGGTTAGGTGGGGCCAATCAGGAGGTATGGGACAGCATAATTCATTCCTGGTATATATGTACTGCTGCAAGATGCAGGCAGAGTGGTACACCTGGTGGAAGCCTAGTTACTAAGCAACAAAAAACAGTATGCATTAGGGCCACCTACAGCTTATACATAACAAACCTCAGTGCAGACTATATATATACAACATACGGGTAAGCTGTTGTGTATTTGCATATTGGCTTTTTCGCGCTCTACCTTTGCAACGGAGCAGTTTCAGAAAACAGTCCGAAATTTCTGACCTTCATTGCCCGTTAAGAGGTCATATCCTACAAACACTCGAGAAGTGAGATGTAGAGTAACAGACAGACAGATAGACAGACCCAACTACCGTACCCTCGCTGCACATGCGTGCCGAGGGTAATTAAAGCTGTCCAGAAAAAGTTGTTGTTAGTACAGCGTCACCCTCTATGCAGGGTGGTTGCTCAGTAATGCTAACTAACAGTATGTGAGTAATACTGTTGTGGCTCTGCATTCCACCTGTGATTAGCTAATAGGCTCACTGTGAAGTTGTTAAATAAGAGTAATTTGCTGCCCATTAATCTCATCATCTTCCCACTCGCTATCTGTATCCTAAGTTTAGCCTTAGGGTTTGTTGCCCAACAAGGGCTCATAACCCTAATCCCCACATGGAGGTAATATGTGGATCATTATAATCATGACTATTCACCACAACATAACAACTTTGTTGGCTCCAGATATGACAAGCAAATCTATTATCAAAACAAAGTGAAGGGTTGATTTTATGATGCCTTGTGTATTTAGTTACTAGTCGCATAATATAATTGTCCTGATGCTGTATGTACGTATGCCCATACGTACAGTTACAACTTTAATGGAGGAGTCTTTAGCTAATCAATTCCTCCCTCACGTTTATCAGAGTGTGTCTGAGCCTTCTCAGCTACTGTTTTAGACTGGTTAAACGTATTAAGAGGCAGCACATGCCTATGTGCGTGCGTAGGGGATTTCTATATATGGCAAGGTTGAATCCCCAAAAATATGCATCCCTTGTGAGCTAGTATGCAATACGTATGGTAGAACAATGGTAGAAAGAAAACGCTGGCTTGCCGTCTCAACCCGTGACATACGAGGGACACCCCTCAGCGTCTGGCTCCTCCAGTGCAGATATGAGGGACACCCCTCAGCATTGTCTGGCTCCTCCTTAAGTGCACCTGCTGCTAGTGAACCCCTTCCCCATTGAATCTTAAACTGGAAAGAGCCGAGTCTCAAGTCAACTGCTATGTACCTCCATTCTCCTCGGTGAATCCAAGGCCAGTTACGTAGTTTACTAGCCTCGTTCCCAGGCCTTCCGTGAGAGAGAGGCCTTGTTGGTTTTTTATATCCATTGCCACGCCAACTTCTCTTGTTGTGACACTCTGTGGCATGCTATATAGCAGGAAGTGTAATTATAGTGACATATGGCATCTAAGATTAGGAAGTGCCAATACACACCTGACATTTTTGTGGTGCAACACTGAAGATGACAGTATATACTTTACTCTGGCTAGAGTAATAATGAATTTGCATAATGAACGTATGGCACATGATTGGAGAGTACAGTTGAAAATTCTTGCCATTGCTTGAGAGTGTGTGGGGTCCATGAATGGATCAGGCAGTAGATGAGGTGGATGGTTCTTTCGAGATGACATAGCCAAGAAGACCTGAGTTGATCTGGGGGAACTGGCTGCCAGTGCTTGAGTTGTGATCAGTGATAGATTGAGTAGCTCTCGGAATTACTAGGTCTTTGCGCATTTGTCCCACTGGTGATCGGGATCTGTTGCACAGGTCTGATTCCCTTATGTATGCAGAGATCGGTGCACAGGGCTGGTTTTCAGAGGGTACAAAACTCACGGCACCTTCACTTTGTCCTGGTATGTCGCCAGGGCTTGATTTTGCTACGCTTGATTCACTGATGACTTCAGACCTCGGTTCACCAGTGTAGCCAGACTGCACCGTGCAACTGAAACTGATTTCCCCCGTGTATCCTGAGCAAGTGTTCATGTAGCGTTCAAAATCGCTGCCGCTGTCGGTCTGAGAAGCAGAGTCAGAGCTGTGATGTTTGGTACGTCCCGTAGGCTCGTCCACTGTGGCAAAAGCCAGGGTCACACCACTAGGAATTTGGGGGGAGAGGGGGGAGAAAGAGAGGGTTTCGTCATGAGAATCTTCTTCCCCATCAAAGTTTATGTAGCCAGGCTGATGAGTAGGGGCAGACACTGCTTCCTCCTCAATGGCAGCGGGGTCTTGTAGATTGTGACCGGTGAAGAACTCATCTGCAATTACATTTTCAGAGATGAATATACTCTCTGTGGATTCCTTGGGGAATGGACCATAACCAGTCAAATATTTGTCACTGGAAGGAGGATACATCGAGTCCTTAAAAACAAACTTAATGCCAGAAACATTAGTGGGAGGACAGTATGCTCCACCACTACTGACTGCAGTCGCTGACCTCTCTGGAAACTGGAAGGCAATGTCCGAATGTTCATCTTCGTTTTCCGACGGCTTTGTGGTGATGAAGCCGGCTTTTATTGATCCATACTTGACATATGGAAGGGAAGGGCAGCTTCTGTTCAAGTTCTTTTCAGTCACCCCTTCAGAAAGATTGTTGCTTTCCTTTATGTACAGTCCAGGTGATGTGATGTTGTGGGGCATATTTAATACGTCATCTAGAGATTGTGACCTGGTCAGTGGCTGAACTTCAGTCGTTGCTACTGTTAATGATAATAGGCTGGTGATAGAGTCTTTAAAGGCCGGGTAATACTCGTTTGGCTGAATTTTCCTGGCCAGACCAATATTTATGGGAGCATAGTTTGGATCCAGAGACTGCAACATGAGAAACAAAAGAGATTTTAGTTTTCATGTTAGTAGCGCAATAATAATACCTCGTTCCTTGCTTGTATCATAAAGAATCTCTGGACTTTGTCATATCTGTGGGAGGATTGGATTAGAGTTGTGTCAGATAGGTAGTATGTGGTTTGGATGGTGTTTTGATCTAATTAACCACAGTGACTGCCCTACATTGCACCCTAGAGTTACATTCATGCCAACCTGTGAGTCCAGCAAATCTTGCAGCAGAAGATGAAGACAGTAGCAATAATAAGTAAAAGTGTCAATGTAACTGCTACCACAGAAGCAACGATTGGCCAATAGCCTGTAGTAACAAGTAACATGAAGTGAGGTAAGCAATGACACCATGTGTACAGTGTCTGCTTTGATGGAAATTGCGGTCTATTCCTAGAAGTGAAAGGCTGTGGTGTGTCACAGTACAGTGTTTTACTGTATAGCTTTCATGCACAGGAAACCACACATGAAAGGAAGGTATTCATGATATATGTATACAGCATGTCTATTCTGTCCTGGCAGTGTGGTTTGGATAAGCCACCAAGTGCGTGGTATTGGGCCTATTACCTTGTCTTAATGTGGCACATACTGCAGCAGCCAAAACTATGTACCGGTTTAATGGTTCATCAACATTAAGACGCCATGAAGATCTGCTTAAATAAGCAGAAATTGATGTATAGTGTATTAGCACCTAGAATTATAACCCCCATACAAATTCTTATGGACTTATATGGACATTTATGTGTCCGTTGCTGGTTAAGTGTTAATAATATAGCTCACTTCTTGAACATGATGGCAATGGAGAAGTCCAGTTTCCATTTATTCCACAGGTGATGCTACCACTTCCAATGTAACCTTTGTCACAACTGACCCTTATGGTGGTGTTTACTAGGTAATGGTCATAAACTGCACTCCCATTATGAGGTGTGTTTACTTCTTTACTTCCATGGTCTACATCTGCCATTGGTTCGAGGCATTCAACTAAAAACAGAGGAGTATGAATATTAATGCTACATTGCACTGGCTTATGCACTGGCTTATGCTACATTGGCACTGGCTTATGTACCTGGGAAACATAGTGGAAGGCTTGATGTCCATTTTCCATTTCCACATGTAATGCTGCCACCTCCAGTGTAATACTCATGGCAAGTGACTGTGATAGTAGTATTCACTAGGAAGAAGCCTTCGCTTGGTTTGTACCTGGAGACGGGGCTGTTGACTTCAACATCGCCACCTTCAACAGTTTGTACTGCAGGACATTTTGCTGCAGTGGAGGAAGGGGATATAGAGAGTGCTATTTAATCATCTGTGGTTTATAACTCACCTGGATTACATTGTGGAAGGCGTGACTGGCTCCAATTCCCATTCTCGCCACATATAATGTTACCACCTCCGATGTAGTATTTATCGTAGCAAGTGACTGTGGCTGTCGTATGGACAGTGCGAGTAATGTCACTTATTTCAATCCATCCACCATCAATACTTGTTTCCAATTCATCACATTGCCCTAGTGCAAACACAAGAGGTATAATGCCACAAGCCACTTTTCAATGCAGGTTGTATATAATTTGCTGTGCAAACATGGCTTGAGTGTAAGATAATCAACAGCTGCATTGTCATGGTGAGAGCTATGAATCTCCTAATTAGGAAACTATGCCAATGAAGCACAAGCTACATGCTGTGTAGTGGTAAATTTCCGGGCTTGATCAGTTTGAACGGCTTCCATCCCAGTATAGAGAGAAAAAACATCGTTGCTACTCCGAACATTTTCTCCCTAGGTTAATTCATATTGCATACTTTTACAGGTTGGTAGAACTGTAGTGTTCCATGTTCCGTCACTCTGGCATTCACTAACACCTCCATAGGTAGCCGCAAACCCCTCGTCACATGTCACGTTGGCAACTGTGCCCCCAACATACCGCGTACTGTCCACTGGTGGAAGTGTGAAACTAACGCTTCCATTCTCAACACTGTCTCCAGGATGAGGACATGTTGCCACTGGTACAGAGAAACAGGGCAAACTAATATATACAAGCCAAGGAGTTGGTAATCACTTACAGATGGTAATATTCTTCACAAAGATGTCATCAAGTATTCTTTTTCTACAACTTCCATAGACGTTCTCTTCTGTATAGAGGAAGCATCCAAAGAAGGTGCACTGCTCCTCGGGAAAGAGTAATTTTGTTTCGTCTTTTGGACTCACAATGTGCATCCAATTATCCCCGGATGAAGGAAGCTGAAAAATTGTAACAGTGATTTTTTTTACTGATAATAACATTTGGGTCTTATGTAGCTGGCCCTATCTAATGGAAAACTGTGTAATACTAAACGGGCTGCTACATAATAGTCTATCATCTTTTCTACTCCATTGTTAGCTACGTAGTGTTAATGAGTAAACTTAAAAGCAGCTCACCCTAGCGATGTACGATGAACATTGCTCCGTTGGGTTGTTAGTGCATCCTCTATAGCCAATGACATAGCCAGTGTACAGAAAATTATCTTGAGAGTCTGTGTCAATTTGACTCGAATTCACTGTCAGAGTAATGGAAGGCTGGAGGAGTTGAGTGTTATCGATTGAATATGAAAATAAGTTGCCATGCCCAAGTTCTGCAAAAGCAAACAGACGTGATTCAAAGGGTCTTGGCCCACCTTTGGAACTGTTATTATACCACGCTAAATTTTGTATTATAGCTACTCCGAATGTTAAAATTCTCTTTTGGCTAATTCCAATTGCATACTTACGTGAAACTTGAAGCTGAATACCCAAGGCCCCTCAAGGCATTTGTATAACTACAGGGAATGTGTTCTGATGCCTCACCTTCACAGTCTGGCAGTGGATTCGAAAGTTCACCTGCAATGTGCATCATAGAGATACAAGAAATTCCGGCAATCGGGTATATTTATATATCCTGCAAAGTGCGGGATATAAAAGGAAGAACTACATTTACCTCTCAGTATCTCTTCACAACTCTGGTCAGAGTTTTGACACGAGAGCTCTATCTTCTCGTCGACGGACTCGGTTGGACAGGGGAACTGCAGGAGTGCTAAAGCACAGAGACAACGGACGACGAGTCTCTGGAATCCGCTGTAGCTGACGTTAGACGCCATTGGCTACTCGACGGACGACGACCGCGGCACTGCTAACAGGCAGCACCAAGTAGGGCAATAAAATGGTGCAACGCTCAAATTAATGCGCTCGGTGCAGTGAGGGCAACGGAAGTAACCCCGGCGTGCATGCGCAGCGAGGCAACCA